ATGATCAAGTGGGATTTATACCAGGTATGCAGAGATAGTTCAACATTAGAAAAACAATCAATGTAATCCATCACATAAATAAAACAAAAGACAAGAAACACATGATCTTATCAATTGATGCAGAAAAGGCATTTGACAAAGCCCAACACCCATTCATGATAAAAACTCTCAGCAGAATAGGAATAGAAGGGAACTTCCTCAACATAATTAAGTGCATTTATACAAAGCCAACAGCCAACATCATCCTAAATGGAGAGAGTTTGAAAGCATTTCCCTTGAGAAGGGGAACCAGACAAGCATGCCCTTTATCACCACGCTTATTCAACATTGTGCTGGAGGTCCTAGCCAGAGAAATTAGGCTAGAAAAAGAAATAAAGGGCATCCAAATTGGTAAGGAAAGAGTAAAAGTATCTCTATTTGCAGATGATATGATCTGATACACAGAAAACCCCAAAGAATCCACAAGAAAACTACTGGAACTAATAGAAGACGTCAGCAAAGTAACAAGATACAAAATAAACGTACAGAAATCAGTTGGATTCCTCTACACCAACAAAGAGTACTTCGAAGAGGAAATCACCAAATCAATACCATCTACAGTAGCCTCCAAGAAGATAAAATACTTAGGAATAAATCTAACCAGAGAAGTAAAAGACCTATACAACAAAAACTACACGACACTATTGCAAGAAACCAAGAGACCTACATAAGTGGAAAAACATACCTTGCTCATGGATAGAAGACTCAACATTGTGAAAATGTCCATTCTACCCAAAGCGATCTACAGACACAATGCAATCCCGATCCAAATTCCAGTGGCATTTTTTAATGAGATGGAGAAACAAATCACCAACTTTATATGGAAAGCAAAGAGGCCCCAACTAAGTAAAGCATTACTGAAGAAGAAGAACAAAGTGGGAGGCCTCACACTACCTGATTTTAGAACCTATTATACTGCCAGGATAGTCAAAACAACCTGGTACTGGTACAACAACAGATACGTACACCAATGGAACAGAATGGAGAATCTAGACGTAAATTCATCCACCTATGAGCAGCTGATATTTGACAAAGGCCCACCAAAGTCCATTAAATCGGGAAAAGACAGTCTCTTTAACAAATAGTGCTGGCGTAACTGGATATCTATCTGCAAAAAAGTGAAACAAGACCCATACCTCACACTATGCACAAAAACTAACTCAAAATGTATCAAAGTCCTAGGTATAAAATCTAAAATGATAAAGATCATGGAAGAAAAAACACGGACAATGCTAGGAGCCCTAATACACGGAATAAACAGAATACAAACCGTCAGTAACAATGCACAAGCACCAGAAGAGAAACTAGATAACTGGGAGCTCCTAAAAATCAAACACTTACGCTCATCAAAAGACTTCACCAAAAGAGTAAAAAGACAACCTACAGACTGGGAAAAAACTTTTGGCTCTGACAAATTGATCAGCGTCTAATCTCTAAAATCTACAAGACACTGCAAAACCTCAACACCAAAAGACAAATAACCCAATTAAAAAATGGGCAAAGGATATGAACAGGCACTTCATCAAAGAAGACATGCAGGTGGCTAAAAGACATTAGCCATTACAGAAATGGAAATCAAAACTACAATGCAATACCATCTCACACCAAAAAGGCTAGCATTAATCCAAAAAACACAAAATAATAAATGTTGGACAGGTTGTGGAGAGACTGGAACACTTATACACTGTTGGTGGGAAAGTAAAATGGTACAACCACTTTGGAATCCATTTGGCAGTTCCTTAAAAAGCTAGAAATAGAAGTACCACGCAATCCAGCAATGCTGCTCCTTGGAATATATCCTAGAGAAATAAGAGCTGTCACATAAATAGATACATGCACACCCATGTTCACTGTAGCACTGTTCACTATAGCAAAAAGATGGAAAATGGACGAATGGATAAACAAATTATGGTATACTCCCACAACGGAATACCGCACAACTATAAAGAACTACTATGAATTCGTGAAACGTAACACGGAGGAATCTGAAAAGCATTATGCTGAGTCAATTTAGTCAGTCACAAAAGGACAAATATTATGTAAGATCACTATTATAAGAAGTCAAGAAAAGGTTTAAACACAGAAGAAAACATTCTTTGATGGTTACGAGGGTGGGGAGGGAGGGAGAGGGGTATTCAGTAACTAGAAAGTAGACAAGAATTATCTTAGATGAAGTGAAGGACAGCACACACTACAGGGAAAGTCAGCATAACTGGACTAAACCAAAGCTAAGAAGTTTCCTGAATACACCCAAACACTTTGAGTGACAGAGTGGCAGGGGTAGGGGTCTGGGGACCATGCTTTCAGGGGACATCTAGGTCAACTGGCATAATAAAGTTTAGTAAGAAAATGTTCTGCATCCCACTTTGGTGAGCAGCGTCTGGGGTCTTAAAAGCTAGTGAGTGGGCATCTAAGACGCATCAATTGGTCCCAACCATCTGAAGTAGAGGACAATGAAGAACACCAAAGACACAAGTGAACTATTTGCCCAAGAGACAGAAAGGGCCACATGAACCAGAGACTCCATCAGCCTGAGAGCAGAAGAACTAGATGGTGCCTGGCTACCACCAATGACGACCCTGACAGGGAACACAACAGAGTCCCTGACAGAGCAGGAGAAAAGTGGGCTGCAGAACTCAAATTCTAGTAATGACCAGACTTAATGGTTTGACTGAGACTGGAGGGACCCCGGAAGACATGGCTCCTAGATGCTCTGTTAGCCCCAAACTAAAACCATTCCAGAGGCCCACTCTTCAGACAAAGATTAGACTGGACTATGGGATGTAAAATGATACTCATGAAGAGTGTGCTTCTTAGCTCAAGTAGAACCAGGAGACTAAACAGGCAGCTCCTGTCCAGAGGTGAGATGAGAAGACAGAGAGGGTCGGGAGCTGGTTGAATGGACATGGGAAATCCGGGGTGGAAAGGAGTGTGATGTCACAGTATAGGGAGAGCAACTAGAGTCATGTAACAATATATGTATAAATGCTTGTGTAAGAAATGAACCTGAATTGTAAACTCTCACTTAAAGCATGATAAAATACACATAAACACACCTTCAGTGAGGTAACGGTGGCTCCCTGTGGAGAGCGACTCATCAGTTTGTCCACCGTCCTTTTCTACTGCTTCATTGTGTCACCTTTTCAATCTGAAAACTAAGTCTTTCAAGGAGCCCTTTCTATCTCATAAACCATGAAAACGGGTCAAAAACACAAAAGCTCGGGTAGTCTGTGGGGGAGAGGAGGAGCTGGGGCGTCAAGGGCTGCCCGGCCCTCCATGGTGGGTTCCAGTGGGGATCGCTGCTGTCCCATGTGGGTGACATCTGCAGACAATGTCTGAAAGAGCAGAGACATCAGCATGCACTTTTGTGTTTTCGAAGCGTATGGGATCTGATAACGGAGGCATGAGCCACGTGGCGCTTCACAAGCAGAGCGAAGAGCGTGTGCAAAGGCCCTGAGGTGAGAGTGCACTGAATGCCGAGCGAACCAGGACGCCAGTGTGCCTGATGTTGAAAGGCCATGCCAGTGGGCATTAATGTCTGGCCTCTGCTGCGCCTGGAGGATAGGAGCCCTGATTGAAAAGGTGACATGATCAAAGAAGGTCACCGGCTCACATGCTAACAGTCTCCCAGCTCAGGCTGCGTCTGCTCAGTGCCAGCCCAAGGACACCTGCTCAGGGATGCTGCCCAACTGCCCAGACAGAACTGCCTTCGCCAATCAGACCACAGCCGCTCGCTGCCACAGGAACTAGAGCCAGATACTAACCATCCTTTTCCCCTGCTAGACTGGGCCCTCAGTGGGACCAAGATCACTCCACGTATCCACCTCTGTGGGCCTAGCCCACAGCCGGGCCTGGCCAGTAGCAGCCCCGGTCTCTGCAGAAAGAATACGCCTGGCTGAGACTCCCCTCCCCTCCCGTCGGTCAGGCTCTCCCTCTTCTGCATGACTCACTAGTCCCAAACAGAAAAGCCAACCCGCTGCAGACTGTGTCCAGCCAAGGACGTCTGCCCTCCACGCAGGGCATGGCAACTGCCTCCCCCAGAGAGCTTTGGGCAGAGATGCAAGGACTAGAACCCACTCTTCTCTGGTCCTTGGCCATCTCGTGCTGGCACTCCAGCTGTAAGACTCCAGGCCCGCCTGTTCTCCAAGCACTGTCCCCAGCTAACCACCCCAGGCTCAGGCAGAGATAAGCCTGAAAAAGGTTCAGAACCAGCACGTTGTGCGGGTCTCACCAGGCTTTAGCAGATTGGATCTTCCACTGGGCACTGCCTCCAGAGGCATGCAAACAGCCTCGGGAGCCTTGGTGGCCCAGCTTATCTCGGCAAGCCCCATGGAGAACAGCTGGGCCGAGCGCCGGCCACCCTCCCTGGCTCTCTGCTGGCCAGGCGGCTGCTGGCTGCCCACGAGCCGTTTCACTACACGCACAACCGATAAGAGACCAGCCGGTGCCCTGCTCGCGGCCGCACAGGCAGAGGGAGCGTGGCGCAGCTGGACGACAAGGTTTCCCGGAGAACCGGAGGACGAGGAGAAACCTCTGGGAACGGCACAGGTGCCCCTCCCTCCCTGGCCCCTCACCTCCATGGTGTAGCAGGGTGAACCGGCGGCTGGGGGCAAAGACCACCCCTGCTCGGTGTCCTCCCACCTATCAAGTAAAAGAGGCAGGATTAGGACTGGCAGGGACAGAAAGAGAGTGGTTAGCCAGGCTCCTTGGAGCTCGAATGTGCCCCTCGGGATTGCTCCTTGCAGCCCCCGCCCTCGCCCCATAGACACCAGGGCCCCACCCAGGCCAGGCCAAGCTTTCAACAGTGGGACGAACGAGACAGGTCCAGTTCTACACACAGTTCTATTTTATTATGGCAAAGGTGAAAATAACACCTTCCCCACAACAGCAACCAGTAAAGTTTATCCCAAAAATAACTCGGTACAAAACAGGTCTGCTTCAGAATTTAAAAAAAAAAAAAAAAAGAAAGAAAAAACCTTTACATGAGTTTTTAAATCCTATTTTAAAACATAAAAGAAACGAAACCATCATTGGCTACCCAGCTGCGGCCGAACACCCTCCCTCCCGCCAGGGAGCACGGGCGAGAGGTCTGGGTCCTGTTTCGTGCACGGATCCGTGAGTCTGTTTAGCTGGTGTCCATCTGAAACAGCGAGGAAGAAAAGGTTCTCATTCAGAAGGCTTCTGCTTCCCGACAAGCTCTGGGTCGCCCCAGGCCAGGTCTGTACCCCATATGACCGCCCGCCCGCCTCTGGGCCCTGCCCCAGGACTTACCCTGGCATTATAAGCATCCAACTGGGCGTCCAACTCCTCTGCGGAAAGCTGTTGCTTCGAACTCCTGCCGGTTCCTCTACCTCGTCCCCGGCTGCCCCCACGGGTGCCTCTCCGGGTGCCGCCGCCGCCAAAAGCTCCAGAGCCACGGTTTCTAGTCATGCCGCCTCTGTTTATACTGGTAAGGAAGACAAGACTTGTTCACCTTCTCAAACTCCTCCAAGGACGACGTGGCCACACACCACAGGCCACCCTATCACCTAGCGGCCCCAGACTCACCTCTGTGCAGGTCTCCGCTGTGTGTCGATCTGTGACGTGACCAGCTGGATGTTCATGGGACGGCCTGTGGGAAAGAAAACAAGACATCAAGACCCTGTCCAGGTGCCACCACACCCTGGGGTCCATGCAAACACTGGAAAGGGTCTCTCTGCACCTCAAATGCTTCCATCAAGGACACAGGCCTGAAAACACTGGCGGAGAAACAGAAACAACCCCACCGACACCTCATCCTTCCTCTCTGTCTGGGCAGGTGGGCTGTCTGCTGACGCGTCTGGGGTTCCGGTGGGTACAAAGGTGTGGGTGACCTCACAGAAGAAGGGCCAGTACCTGCGTCTTTACGACTACAGCCCCGCACTCAGAGGTGTGCTATGGCGGTTCTCAGAAGGCTTCACAGAAGTGAATCTTCCGGAAGGAGCTGAAGGAGGGGAGGGATGTAGCTTGCTGGATGGGGGTTCACAAGAGGTTGGTCCAGATGTGTGGGGCAGCATGAGAGGTGGCAGAATGGAAGAGAGAGACAAAGGGGCAAATGCAAAGTGTGCTCAGCCATGGGGAGGGAGCCATTCCTACATGTTGGGTGCCAGCACCAGCGCCACAGCGGAGGCCCTGGCCCCTCAGCACTCCAGGCCCAGGCTGACACTCACCATCCAGCGGGACGCCGTTGTACTGCTTCATCGCTTTCAGGGCGTCCGCCTTCCGCTCAAAGTGCACGTCTGCTGTTCCCAAACTCCGGCCAGACCGGTCGTAGTGCACGGCGGCCTTCTTCAGAGTTCCAAATTCAGCAAAGAGTTCCTGGAAATTAGAAAGACCACAGTCATCAGCAAAGCCGTGTACCTCCGGTGTCCCAGGGACAGTTCTTCCAAGTGTGATCTGCTCTGGGGTGTTTCCCTGGGAGACAGACATATGCAGGACAGGGCAGTGGGGATGGGAACTGGGGGAGGGGTGGGGCTGGCAGACAGCAACTTCCTACAGCAGGTGGGTCTAGGGCCCCTGTCAGCTTTGGGAGTGGACATCTGTTTCACCAGGCAGGTGAAGGAAGTTGCAAAGTCCCCTATGAAGGACACAAGATCAAGTCACGATTGTTTTTAACCAAGGAATATTTACGAGACTCCCAAGGAGGCGTCAACCAACAGCAAAGGCCAAGATCACAGAGCAAGGGAAGCCGTCCACACAGTGGAGCAGGCTGGAGGACACTGATTGAGGAGCCCTGACCCCAGCCCTCCCCCAGGCAGGTTCTGGCTCACCTTTCCCTCTCCTCCTACTCAAGCCTGCCGCAAAGGCTGAAGTCAAGCGCTGCCTTGGAAACTGCCCTGACCTCAGGCAGGCTGGGAGTTGGAGAGGGAACCCAGAGTGTGGGGCTACTCCGGCCGCAGGCACACAGCGGGAAGTGGAGTTCACCAAAAGCGGTTTCCAGTGGATGCCAGAAACCACCTTAAAAAAAGTGTTGAGACACTGTGAGTGCTCACCAGCCTCGCTCTGTCCTCCCACGGCAAAGTCGCACAGCCGGGCTCTGGGAAATCGAACCCAGAGAGGCCCAGCACCCTGACCTAGTCATCTCTAAGTCTGAGCCCAAGAACGTATTCCTTAACCAGAAAATCAGCTTAAATGTGTTTGGGATTCAAATTAAACCAAAAAAAAACAAAACAAAACAAAACAAAACCAGGGGCTTCAACCAAAGATGGTTTGAGAATCACGTTACGGACAAGACACAAGGAGTGGTGACCAGTGAGACCAAGTTTATATAGGACTATACAACAGGACAAGACTCAAGGCAAACAGAAGAGGAAAAACACCGAAGGAAGGTCCTCCCGCTGTGCTTTGTCAGTTTTAACAAGAGATTTTTCTTCTCCCAAATCATCATCAAAACCAACACAAAATTAAAGTAGGCAGCCTAGATCTATCCCTGATACCTGGGACCCATTCACATCCCAACCAGTCCTTCCCTTGCTAGATACTGGAAGCTCTAGCAGAACCTTGTAAGGCCCACAGAGCGCGTTTCAGTGCTTAACAGCAGCTCCGCAGACTGACCCAGTCCTATCTGCCGGCAGACGGACCTCCTGTGGAACTTTCCACTTTAACACAATCACCGCTTCACACCGTGTTCAGGCTACAAAGCAGCCGCTAACTGGGGCAGCACAAGGCTATCCCGTGGTCAGCTGGGAGGACTCACTTTTCTAAGGTGGGAAGGGAATTCAGGGCCACGTCCCGAACCGTACAACTCTGCTCACCGTTCCTTACCTGAATATCAGCGTCTGACACTCCAAAATCCAGGTTTGACACCAGCAGTTTCCCACCGGTCTCCACGCCAGCACCGCCCCCAAAGCCGCTGTCGAAAAGGTCGTGTTGCCATTTGTCTGGTAGTTGTTTCGGCTGAAGACGAAAAAAAGCCCACAAGAACAGAAACAGGTCGGTCAATCTCACTCCAGGCCTTTCCCTTGCTCACGGCTAGCACAGACCCCCTCTCATCCGGGTCCCGGGAGGAGAGCGCGCTGCCGTCGTCCCAGCCGCAGGCCCCACGGTCCCGCTGCGACCACGCAACTTCTCAGTTCCCTTCAACTAACTTCCCGCCGCCGCCGCACCCGGCGTTCCCTCCGCTCCTGGCCGCCACGAGGCCCCGGCGCCCGGGTGAGACAAAGGTCCGGGGAAGGTCTCTGCCTCCGGTGTCGGCCCGGGTCGCGTGCCCTCGCCCCCGCCCACCACCTCACGGGTGCCGGCACCCGCCGGCCCGGTCGGACCGCTCCTTCGGTCCCCCTCCGCCCCCGGGCTGGGCCCAGCCTCGGGCCGCTCCCGTCCGGCTCGCTCCGTCCATGCCCCGGAGGCCGCTGTCCGGTTGCCCCCT